CGCTACTGGTGGAAATACAGACTGCACTGTGGAAAGCAGTCTGGAGATTTTGTAAACAACAGTCTGGAGATTTCTCAAAAAACTTAAAACAGAGCTACTACTGAACTAAGCAATTCCCTACTGGGTGTATACCCAACACAAAATACTTCATCCTACCAAAAAGCCACATGCTCCTGGACATTTATCACAGCATTATTCACAATAGCAAAGACACGGAAATGACATAAAGAAAGAAAATGCAATAAAGACAGAACATTTGAAAAAGTAAAAGCACTGATTTTTTCCTATTCTTGAATGATCTAACATATAACAGTTTGTTCAAAGGGACAGCAATGTATTTCATTATGTATGCTTATGTGTGTTGTAAACCAAGAGTATCTGGGACAAGTCTCAATCATTAGGATGGTCACTTTGCTAAGGCTAAGGATGCACCTGTGACACAGCCTCAAGAGGTCTTGACAGGTGTTTAAGGTGGTCAGGGATCCACTTGGTTCTAGACATTTCAGGGAGACATGGAACCAATATATGTAAAATGTATACTGGTTCCATACGAAAAGGCAGGACAATTCAAACTGTTGAGGAGGCTTTGGGGTCACAGGTAGTTAAGAGACAAACAGTTGCATTCTTTAGAGATTCTGATTAGCCTTTCCAAAAAAGTATCAGATATGCATTTATATCAGCAAGCAGAGGGATGATTTTGAGTTCTCTGTCCTTTGTCCACAAGGAGTTTCCTTAATAATATATACTATTATAAACAATATGATTAATAATGTACATTATTATACAATATATACTGTGTAATATATAAAAATACATATTACATATATGTAAGAATATATAAAATATTTCTTATAAAGAATACAGTACATATATATAAGGATATATAAAATATATATGGATATATGAGAATATATATGTAAGAATACACAATATATTTAAGATATATATAATATACAATATATAAGGATATATAATATATGTTCTTTTAAAAAATACACTCACACAGTAAAAGGAAAGTAAAACTTGGAATCCAAAAATCACTAAGCCAAAGGGAAAAGTCAAGCTGGGAACTGCTTAGGAAAAACCTGCCTCCCATTTTAGTACATAATGAAGTATATATAATATACATTATATATATCCTAATATACAATATCCTTATACATTATATATTTGCACACAATATATATTACATGTAACATATTACCTAACATGTATATTACATTATACATATATAACAATATATATTATATTATATCATAATTATATAATATATAACATATAACATGTATTATGTATAATATGTATATTCCAACATATATTGCACATATATTATAATTACATAATAATTATATTTGGAGCTTCTGCACACCAAAAGCTCTTGATTCACCAAAAGAACAACACACATTTCTTCTCAAATTCACAAGGAACTGCTTAGGGAAAACGGGCCTCCCATTCTAGTATACAATGAAGTGTATAAAATGAAGCACATACAAATGTATATGGACATATAATGACATATAAAAAAAGATATAAACATTCTTTTCTATATATGAATACATATGTGAATATATAAGGATATAAATATATATCCAAGAATATATATATGGGCATATATATCTGTATATATATATATGAGCTACATTGTATAATTTTTATCACATAATATAATGTAACACATATTTATCCATAATATATATTCATATAGTAACAATATATAAAGAAAAAATTTTCTATTCAATTTATTATTTAATAGTTATGATTACATATTATAAATATATACTTATGATTATATAATACATATTACATGATACATATTATAGAATACACTATTTTATATTTATAAACATATACATATAATTATATACATGTTACATAATTATGTACATATATAACATATATAATACATATGAAATTATATAACATATCTTATATATTATACATATTTTAAATTTACTATATATTTTATCAAAATATATAAAATATATAGTAACATATATATTAATAAATTTTATATTTTATAAACATGACATATATATATTTATATACAATATATAACATGAAACAATTTTACATATTATATATATAATTTTATATTGTATAAATTGGTTGTAGTGAGCCTAAATAATGTAATAAAATTACATACAAAATATATAACTTTACATATATTATATATACAAAATATGTAATTTTATATATTACATATAAAAATACATATTTATACATTTTGTATATTACATATATATTTTATATATTTATATTATACATATTTTACATAATATAAATTATAAAATACAAATTATATGAAATATGTAAATATATATTTTCCATGTAAATATATTTTATATATTTTCATATATTTTTATATATTAGATTAAATTACATGATATATTAATACAATCTATTTATATATTTAAATATATTTTTATATATACTCATATTGATTTGTATAATATAAAATATACTATTGATATCTCCATTACATGATTATATTATATATAATATATAACATAAGTTACTTAATATATAATGTATATAATATGGAGTTGAAATTCTTTGGAAAATATATGGAAAACCTTAGGGCAGTCACTTAAACTAATTAAGTATATAGTATACTTTACACATATATAATACATATTGTCATTATGATCATATATTGTAATGTTATAATTATTACATAATATGTATGTATTGTCATATATGATATGTAACATATAACACTATTCTATATATTCTATATATTCTATTATACACCAGTATATATACATATACATATACACATAATTGCATTAATATATACATATATTATACATATAACTACTATATATAGGCATAAAAACTTATAATTATATAACATATTATGCATCGTTATATATTTCACATTTTATATATACTTTATATTATATATCGTATTTTATATATATTATATGAAATATTTCATATATAAAATTACATATTATATAATTATATATTCATGTAATTTTATACTTTATATTACATATAGTATATAATATAATATATAAAATATGTAATATATATTACATATATTTTATATTTTATACTGATATATATAATATAAACTATATATCATAAAATATAAAATATATACATATAAACTATAAATGATTTTTAAATTATATTTTATATAATATGTATTATATATGTATACATACATATGTATAAATCATATATTTTTAATATATTATATATACTATGTAATATGTTTGATATATATCATTTTATATTTCATGATATGTATATATGCATATGTACATATTATATTTATATATATGTACTTTTATAATATATACAACAAATTATACATATATATTTAAAATATATATTTTATATTTCAGATGCGTATGTATATATATAAAATATGATATACATACTTATATGACATATATACTTATATCTTATATATCATACATAATTACATATAATGCTTATATATCATATATAGTTATATAATACATCTATAATTTATATATCCTAATTATATAATGTTAATTACTATATAAAATCTATATCATATACAATATATATTATAAATACAATATAATATATATGTATTTATGATATATAATACATAAATTTTATTTTTATATGTATATTATATATTTATATATATAATAGATATATAAAGTTATATATATTATATACAAAATATTTCATATATAATATATAAAATTTTATATAATTATACATTATATATAAGTATGTATATCATCATATATATTTTATATGTATAAATATATGTGGATGTGAATATACATATACATATAAAATATAAAATGATATCATATATATGTATAATTTATATATGTATATATGATATATATAAAATATATATTTTTATATTATATACATATACATATATATCATGAAATATAAAATGATATATATCATAAACATGTTACATAGTATATACATGTATATTTTTAAATGTATGATTTAAATATATACATATGTATATATGCATATAATATATAATATATATTATATATAATTTAAAAATTATATTTATTATTTTTATATGTATATTTTATGATATATAGTTTATATTATATATAATAAAGTATTCCATATAAAATATATGTAATATATAATATATAAAATATGTAATATATATGTAATATAAAATATATGTACATAATTATATATAATGTAATTATATGTATGATACATGCATGTTACACATGCATATAATTACATATATTATATATATGTAAATATACTGAGGTATAATATATCACACAATTATATTTATTATATATTGTGATATATTATATATCATATATGACTATAACATATTACAATATATAATCTTAATATATATACATATATATAAAGTATAATATATATACTTTATTACCCTAAGCGTTTTTCATATATATTTACAACAATTTCAACTCTGTATAATATATATATAATATATATGTTATACATTATAATTAATAGATATGTTAATAGTATACTTTACATTATATAAATATAACTATGTATATTTATATTATATAAATATAAGATTGCATTAATATATCTATATATAATTATATATAAGTATGTATATATGTATGTATATACATATAAGTATATATAAGTATCATAATTATATAATGATATATACTTAAATATATACCTATATGATATATACAATTACATATATCATATATAATATTCTTATATATTGTATTAATGTATCTACAAATTATATATAATATATATAATTACATATAATTATGTATAATAATTCTTATATATATAAATGTATTATATATAATTATATACAGCATATGTAAGAATATGGATATATAATTATGTATATCTCCTTACAAGTCCATATTCTTACATATGCCGTATATAATTATATATAATACATATTTATATATAATTATTACACATAATTATATATTATATAATTTATAGATACATTAATACAATATATAACATTATACATAAATATATATTACTGTATTATATATGTAAGAATATATATATTACTACTATATTATATGTAATTGTATATATCCCCTTATGCATCCATATTCTTACATATACCATTATATACACTTCATTATATACTAGAATGGGAGGCAGGTTTTCCCTAAGCAGTTTCCAGCTTGACTTTTCCCATTGGCTTAGTGATTCTGGGGTCTCAGTATTTATTTTCCTTTTACTGTTTGAGTGTATTTTTATAGGAATGTATATACATATATATTATATATCCTTATATATATTATATATTCTCATATGTGTTTCTTATATACATTATATATTCTTATATATCCATCCATATATATATGTATCCTTATATATAATACATATTATATATAATTTAAGAATATATATATTCTTACATATATATATTATATACTGCATTACTTTAAGTGTTTGCCCTAAGGATTTTCCATATACATTTACAACAAATTTAACTCTACTTTCAAATAATACGATACCACTTCATGGTAGTGTGAGTACCTCATAAAAACATAATCCTAAATCCTCATCCCTGTCTTTTGTATCACCGCTATCTTTCAATGGAATTATGCATAATATATATTATATTACATTATATATTCTTACATCTTTTATATTATGTAATATATGGTATACATTATAAAATGTTATATATTGTTAAGAATATATATTATGTACTGTAATATTTTATTTTCTATATTATATATGATATATAACATTATGTATATTTTTATATATATTATATATATATATACTTACACATAATTCAATTGAAAGATAGCGGTGATACAAGAGACAGAAATGAGGATTCAGGATTATGTTTTTATGAGGTACTCACACTACCATGAAGTGGTATCGTATTATTTGAAAGCAGAGTTGAATTTGTTGTAAATGTATATGGAAAACCTTGGGCAAACCCTTAAAAAAGTAAATGAAATAGAACTAATATGCTAAGAAAGGAGAGAAAATGTAGTCATAAAGAAGGCTCAGTCAAAACCACAAAAGGCAGAAAGGATGAAGGAGAAAAATGGAAACAAATAACAAGGGGAAAAATTTTTTTAAGTAACAATTTGTTAGATAGGATATATTAATCCCACTATATCCATAACCACTTTGACTACCAATGGTCTAAATGCATTAATTAAAACACAGATATGGTCAGAGTGGTTCTAAAACAAGAATCAACTATACATTGTCTATAAGTAACCCTCTTCAATATAAAGACACATATAGATTAAAAGTAAATGGTGGGTGAGAAACATACGTTGTGCTAACACTAATCCAAAAAGAAGCAGAAGTAGGTATTAGTTCTAGACAGAGACAACTTCACAGCAAGGAAAGTTATCTGGGAAAAAGAGGGGCATTAGATAGTGATGGTGGGGTCAATTCTCTAACAAGACACAATTCTCCGTGAATTTATACCTAACACAGTATGAAAATATGTGAGAAAAATGTTAGCAAGAACTGCCAGGAGAAGTAGAGTAATCCACCATCAGAGTGGAGACTTCAACACCCCTGTAGCAGAAGTGAATAGATCCAGCAGGCAGATAGTAAGCACATAGTCGAACTCAACAAAACACCACCAATCAAGGAAATAGAATGGACATCTACAGACCAATTCACTCACCACCAGAAGAACACACATTTCTTCTCAAATTCACAAGGAACAAACACATCAAGATAGACCGCATTCTGGGCTATAAAACACACCTAAACAAATTTTAAGGAATATAAATCATATCACGTCTGCTCTCAGACCTAACCTAGAAACCAATAACAGGGAGGTAACTGGAAAAAAGTCCCCAAATACTTAGACACTCAGCAATACACTTCTAAATAACACATGGGTAAAATAAGAGATCTCAAGAGACATTTAAAAATATTCTTAGCTAAATGAAATTAAAACAAAGCTTTTCAAAATTTGTGGGAGGATGAAATAGTACTTTGAGGAAAATTTATAGCACTGAATGCATATATAAGACAAAAAGAAAGTTCTTAAATCAACCATTATAATTTCCACTTTAGAAAATAGAAAAAGAAGAGGAAATAAAATCCAAAGCAAGCAGAATAAAAGAAATAATGAAAATAAGAGACATGACTAATTGAAATCACTAATCCTCATTTCAATCACTCTGTTGATTGAAAACAGGAAATCAACAGAGAAAATCAACAAAACCAAAAGCTAGTTATGTGAGAAGATCCATAAAACCTATAAGCTATCTAAGGAAAAGGAGAGGGGACACAAATGTCTAATCTCAGAAATGAAAAAGGGAAATCACTGCATCACCTATACCCCTACTCTATGGACATTTAGGTCAGTTCTGGAGATTTTTTCCTTTGATTGGTCCATGGTCCCGTTTCGTTGTATGCCAAGATACGCTTTGGCTGAGATTTGTCATTAAAAAAAATCAACTTTTTTCATGATTGGCTTCATACAAGGTTAAGACTTTGTCTGGACAGATCTTCCAGACAGAAAATCTGGAAGCCTCACTGAAAAGCAAATGGGTCTAATAGATAATTCACCAGTGAGCCTGGCTATATATTTCAGAAGCTTCTCTAAACTTCCTGGGGATGCATCTTCTCTGGATGTGTGCACATATTTTTCCAATCAGTGATGTTTGCTTGTTTCTTTTTCAGCAGCTCATAATCTCTTGCTCTTTCTGGTGTCTGTATGCAGTCCTGCGGGTTTTCTGGTGCTGCTACAGGCTGCTGAGTTCTCCTTTATTCTCAGTGGCCTCCACTTATTCAAAGTAGGTGGATTCTCCTTTAGCACTCCAAGTCATGCAAGCCAGAAATCAGGCACTCAGGTAGAACCCAGAAAAGCCAGATTGTCGAACTTCTGCTCCCACTTCTCTTCTACTCCCAAGGGAGAAGCCAAGAGCTGAACATCTCCTGGTTACACGAAACAGTGCCCACTTGGGAGAAAGGGCTGAAATTCAACAGCTTTTCTTACCCATTCCAAGGCAGCTGTTTTTGGTTTTGCACTTGCCTGGGGTGCTGATGATTTCTGGATTTTTCATAAAGCCATTTAGGCTGCAGTCAAGATGTCAGCCAGAGAGGACTACAGTCATCTGACAGTTTGGGGCTGAACAGTCCACTTCCAAGATGACCCAGTCGCATGGTCATTAGCTAAAATCCTCTCAGTTCCTTGCTATGTGGAAGTCCCCGCGACGCTGCTTCAAGTCCTCACCACATAGCAGTTGGGTTTTTTTAGAGCAGCTGATTCCACAGGAGGTGGAAGGAGAAAAGTGTGGTACCTTTCCTTACTTCATCTTCTAACTCACAAACTGTCACATCCACTTTTTCCTATTCATTAGAAATGTGCCCCTAAATCTAGAGAAGATTTAGGCTCCACCTCTTAAAGGAAAAAAAAATTCAAATAAGGGTTAACATATTTTAAAACATAGATAAAAGTCACCACAAATATTAAACTTTAGTCATAAACATGATCCAATCTACTGTTATCCTTATATATTATCAAATGATTTACAGGTCAAGAGAATGTCCAAATGCATTGGATTTTATATAGGCATTTATATTATTACTTTAACATTTATAAAGATAACCTAAAATATATACTTAAAAAAAATAAGGCAGTTTTTGGATTCCTGTCTTCTTTCTAGTTTTCTCTGTGTGAGTAGAAAACAGTTTATAATTTTAATTAAAGCCAGTAATTAATAAAAAGACTACAGTTGGTATAAGTCAATCTGAGGTCCACATTAAAAAATAAGCAATTATAAATAAAAAGACTACAGTTGGTATAGTAATTAGAAAAGATTAATATGTATACTGGCAAAGATAATGGTAAGGGAAGTTAATTCACAAAAATGGTAATTTAACATAAAATGGTACATGTTAACATACATACTTTAAATTCAGGTATGATTAATTATATCTCAAAATTAAGGTTTTAATTTTATTATGCATTTACGTACTTATCAACTTATGCATGTCTAAACATACAAAAATATACTGCCATTCATCTTAAAAGTCTGTATATGTTAAAAAAGATTAATAAATTTATTCACTTTTTAAAAAGCTCATAAATGCAATAAAAGTTATATAAATTATATACAAAGAGTGAAATTATATTTTAATATTTCTTTTATAACAAAATTATTCTGTGCTCAGATAACAGAGATTCCCTTTTAACAACTAAATAGTGTGGGAACTCTGTATTTCTGTTAAACTCTTGATAGTTTTTGAATTTTTAAGCAATATTCTAAGGTGAGTATTTAAAGATCATGGCTGCTGATTATTTAAAAATATTGTTCAGAATAATTGTATTTTCTTTATGCAACTATGACTTACATTCATGTCTTGCTTCATTGAATTACTATTCTTGATGTTGTCTTTGCTTTATCTGGCCCTAAATATGCAATAATAAAATTGCCCATATGTACTTTATGCCTGTACTATCACAGCATTTCCAAGAATAACTCTGACTTATAAATGTAAGAAAATAATGAGGCTTGTTTTGGCAACCTCCAAATTTAATTAACTCAAAAATGTTGTGAAAACTTTTATCAAATTGAAGACAGATCCCAGAGAACACCAAGCTCATTTCATTTTATGCCTGTGTTCTACCAGACTTCAAAAAAGAAATCAAATGTGACTTAAAATTTTAAGAGCAAAGAAAAAGAGAAAATATTTAAAAACTCATATAGGGAGGCTAACATCATCATGGCTGGATACAAGGTAACTACTGAAAAAAGTTAATGTCTTTCCTTGATATATGCTATAAACAAATAGAAGAAAGAAAACTAGATAATCACAATGGGAAAAATAGCTACTGAATTCACAAAAATGACATAAGAAATGTGTAAGATACACTTGAAGTACTCTAGAAAACTTTCATCAGTCTAAATCTAAACCTAAAACCTGAATTAGAAAACTTAAAAGATAGAGATAATCTTTGTCCCAAAGTCTGTATCTAAAAAGACTAAAATTTTAATCAGATGGCAATTTATGTGTGATTTGATAAACTGTTTCAAAATTTATATAAAAAATAAGCCCATGTGAGAATAGCTAGCTTTGGCCAAAAGAAAAGAGAATGACAGGGAGTGGAGGCCTGCTGGTTATCAGAGGATAAATCCTAGAGTACTGTGCTGATACAAAACACATTCATGGCAGTAGTGGGACAGTCAGACATGACTTATACGTAAGAACTTCAAGATAACAAACAGTGCATTTGAAATCAGTAGAGAATGGAATTGTTTTGAGAAAGTTTGGTATGTGGAATTTGAGAAAACCAGTAATAAACTTCAACTAACATAAAGACTTTGATGTAAAATCATTACTACAAGAAAGTAATTCTTTATATCCTTGCAGCAAGCAATGCCTTTTACTTATGACATGAAATACAAATATCCTGAAGTTTAAAAATGAACTAATTTTGCTACCTAAAAAGTAAAACCTCCCCTTAAGCAAAATATTGATAAATAATGTTAAAAGGCAAGTGACACGCTGGAAGTATTTGCAATGTATGTATTAAAAATAGTATTTAGAATATATGTAGTTCATTCAAATTACTAAGAACTTGTAAAACACAGTGGGAAAATGGGCAAGAATATAAATAGGAACTGCACAAAAGAAAAAGCACAAGTCATGTGTTCACAAATGAAAAGGTGTTTCTTCTCACTCATAGGTGGGTGATGAAAAATGAGAACACATGGACACAGGGAGGGGAGTACTAAACACTGGGGTCTATTGGGGGGAAAAGGGGAGGGCCAGTGGGAGGGGGAGGTGGGGAGGGATAGCCTGGGGAGAAATGCCAAATGTGGGTGAAGGGGAGAAGAAAAGCAAAGCACACTGCCATGTGTGTACCTACGCAACTGTCTTGCATGCTCTGCTCATGTACCCCAAAACCTATAATCCAATAAAAAAAATAAAAAAAATAAAAAAATAAAAAAAACATTCATGCTTATATTATATAGCTATATGCAGCATTTTGAAATAAAACAAAAATAAATTGTCACAAAAAAAAAAAAAGAAAAGGTGTTTCACCTAATGGCCAAGATGTGTGTTATAATATAACACAGAATTGCCCCCTCTCATTGGTATAATTTAAAAATACATATTCAATACAGAAATTTACATGCCACTTCAGCATTTTTATGATTATTACTTTTGTTATTCTATAAACAAGTCAAAAAATTGAATAAGAAAACATATTACAAATATTTATATGATATGGGTAGGAGAAACCTAAATAAGACCCCAAAGGCAGAAGTTTAAAGGGAAGACTAATAGGTTTATCCCTATGAGAAGTTTAAAGTATTCTGTATGTTAAAAGGAATACTCAATTAGGAAGTGGAGAAAGATGGCGGAAGAGAAAGCTTCACTGATGGTAACCCCTAAGAGCAAGGACACCAACTTAACAACTATCTATGCAGGAAAAAACCCATCTTTATAAGAACCAAAAACCAGGTACCAAAACTGCCTCAAAGTGTTGGAGCACCAAGCGAGCTTCAGGACTTGACCTGTGGATGGCATTTCTGGACCTGCCCTGGGCCAGGGGAGCCCACTGCTCTGAAGTATGAATCCCAGGCCAGGCAACTTTCACCACAAGGTAACTTAAGAGACCATGGACCTTATGGAAATATCCGTGTCCAGGCAGTACTCCTTGTGGCTGGGGTGGTGGCGGCTACAGATGAGGCTCCCCTGCCTTTGGAAAGGGAGGAAGAGCAGGAAGGACTGTGACTTGCAGTTTGAGGGCTAGCTCAGCCACAGTATAACAGAACAGCAGGTAGAGCTCTAACTGTTTTGACTCCAGTCCCTGACCCCCAGACAGCACTTCTGGACCTACCCAGGGTCTGGGAGAACATGCCACCTGGAAGGGAAGGATACAGGCCTGGATGGCTTTGCCACCTGCTTGTTGTAGAGCCCCAGGGCTTTGAGCAAATATATACAGTAGCCAAAGAGTAGTTAAGGCAGGCCTTGGGCAAGACCCAGCACTGTGCTGGCTTCAGATCTGACCCAATACAGTCAAAGTGGTGGTGGCCACAGGGGTGCTTGTGTCACTTTACCCCCAGGCTTTAGGTGGCTCAGAACAGAGACCATGACTCTGTATGTTTGGGAAAAAGTAAGGGAAGAGTACAAGAGTCTCTGCTTGGTAATCAAGAGAATTATTCTGGATCTTTACCAAGATGATCAAGGTGGTACCACTGCGAGTCTACATGAATCCACAACATTACTGGCCTTGGAGTACCTTGTAAAGATTGTGACACCCAAGACATTTCAAATATATAAAAAGTCTTCCCAAGAAGGATGGCTACAAATAAGCCCAGATAGTGAAGATTATGGTAAATTCTGAACTCAATGTGCAGACACAGATGAACATCTACAAGTAAGAAGACCATACAGGAAAACATGACCTCACCAAATGAACTAAATAAGACACCAGAGCTCACTCTGGAGAAACAGATACATGAGCTTTCAGACACAGAATTCAAAATAGCTGTGTTGAGGAAACTCAAAGAAACTCAAGATAACACAGAGAAGGAATTCAGAATTCTATCAGATAAATTTAATAGAGAGACTGAAATAATATTTAAAAATCAAGCGCAAATTCCAGAGCTGAAAAATACAGCTGGCATGCTGGAGAATGCATCAGAGTCCTTTAATAGCAGAATGGATCAAGCAGAAGAATTAGTGTGCATGAAGACACCCTATTTGAAAATATGCAGAGGATACAAAAAAACCAATGAAGTATGCCTACAGGATCTACAAAATAGCCCCAAATGATGCAAATCTAAGACGTATTGGGCTTAAAGAGAAGGTAGAGAACAAAATAGAAGTAGAACATTTATTCACAGAGATAATAACAGAGAACTTCCCCAACCTAGAGAAAGATATTACATCTAAGTACGAGAAGGCTATGAACACCAAGAAGATTTAACCCATAGAATAATCTCTCAAGGCATTTAATAATCAAACTGCTGAAGATCAAAGATAAAGAAAAGATTCTAAAAGCACCAAGAGAAAAGAAACAACATATAATGGAGCTCCAAAATGTCTGGGAAAACTCAGCATAGTGTAATACTGTAATTGTGGTGTGGAAACTACTCTTATCATAAATGGAATTCCAGACTAAATAATGAACCAATCAAAATTAATAACCACAACGTCTTTTCAAGACATAGTACAATAAGATATAAATAGAAATAACAGTTAGAAAGCATGAGGACAAAGTTAAGGCAATTGCTGTAACATTTTTAAATATATACACACCCAACATGGAAACACCCACATATATACAGGGAATACTATCAGAGCTAAAGAGAGAGATGGGCCCCAATACAATAATAGCTGGAGAACTTTAATACCCCATGTTTAGCACTGGACAGATCTTCCAG